GAATTATCAAATTTAAGGGTGGTTTTGAGAAACCTCCAAACTTGCAGTTGACGTCAGAGGTGAGGGTGATCTTGTGTAGACTATTTCTTCTAACTTTGTATTTGGACCCTAACTCCTTACAATTGGAGTAAGAAGTCTTGAGCAGACTTGGCAGTGTGGAGGACTATGCCTTTAACCTCACAGTTTGGCTAATTCCAGGTAAAGGGTAAAAAGGTTTAAGCAGTGTGACAATTAGACAATCTACATAATCTAGATTCTAAAAGAATCACTTTTGCCACATGGGGGAAAATATATTGCAAAAAGGTTAAGACTGGCAAGAGATGGTAATGATGATGGGAATGGAGAGAGACATATTTATGAGATATTTACAAGGGAGAATTAAGACTTGAATGAATGTAAGGGAGGAAAGGAGAAGTCAGGGAGTATCAGGTTTTGTTTGTTTTAGGGGAGGAAAAGGGAGCTGGAGGATTGAATTCAGTTTTGGACAGTTTAATTTGAGGAGCCTTTTAGACACCCAGGTGGAGCTATTCCATTACCAGTGAAAGCAGAGACGGAGATAGAGTTGGGAGCCTTTAGCATAACTATAATACTGAAATCATGTGAGAGACTGATATGACTAGGGACAAATAAGTCAACCAGACTAGAGAAGAAGGTCAAGGACAGAACACCAATATTAAAGGGATGGGCCGAATATTAAAAGCTCACAGAGAATAAGTGTGGCAGCCTGAGAGTTAGGAAAAAAACCTGGAAAGTATGATTAACACTGAATGGTATTTGTTTTCTTCTTTTTTCTTATATGAATTTTCTCCACTTCTTACAGTGAACATTACTTTTTAATAAGAAAAAATATGTAATTAAAAATGGATATAACTTGCATCCATGTATTTTTCCATTTATATATGTAAATGAGACAAAGTTGAATGATTTTCTGACCTATCTCACAGTCATTAATGACTCACTCAATTCTATATAACTGAATTAGTAGTGTCTATAACTAACGATTTTCTTTTTCAAGCCATTTTTAAAGTGCCCACCCTCATTACTACTGCAAACCATCTGGAACCACTTAACTTTGCCAGGCTGCTGGGATATCTGTCTCCCACTTGGGAAGTTCAACAAACACTAAACGAATAACCGAGGAAACAACTGTTCTGAAAATGTGATGACATATAGCTCTAGTAAAGACTTCAGAGTATTTATTTCTTTTGGAATAAAACAAATAGATTTATCCCTAGTGTTGTATAGAGAAATTAAATACATAGTACTGACCTATATAACCTTCAAAAGTAGCCCCATAATCAGTTATATCTGCTGTAAGATTATAAATTTGCAAATTATTTCAAAGTTACAAAATATCTCACCTCCACTTTTTTGAAGAATCTCTCATTAACCTCAGAGATCCTAAGATTATGTCATTAGAAATTACTTTAATCTCTTGAAGGACATTTAAATTTAGAGAAAGGAATAAAACATAGGTCATTTTTATGCAAGCAGCTTAAGGTTCCAAATCACTGGAATTTTTTGTTGACAAGTAACAGAATAATTTTGCTAAAGTTCTAAAGTATTACATGAATTTATTATTGATTCTTGAGATTTCATAAATTGAAACAAATTTGATTAAATGGTCCCTTAAGAAAGCATTTATAATCCACAACAGAGGTCTTTCTCATCCAAGGGTTTTTTGGCCATTTTTGAATTATTATTATTATTATTTTTTTTTTTTGAGACAGAGTCTCACTTTGTTGCCCAGGCTAGAGTGAGTGCTGTGGTGTCAGCCTAGCTCACAGCAACCTCAAACTCCTGGGCTCAAGCAATCCTCCTGCCTCAGCCTCCCGAGTAGCTGGGACTACAGGCGTGCGCCACCATGCCCGGCTAATTTTTTGTATATATTTTTAATTGGCCAATTAATTTCTTTCCATTTATAGTAAAGACGGGGTCTCGCTCTTGCTCAGGCTGGTTTTAAACTCCTGACCTCGAGCAATCCGCCTGCCTCAGCCTCCCAGAGTGCTAGGATTACAGGCGTGAGCCACCACGCCCGGCCTAAATTATTTTTTTTAATGTTAAATATTATTCTTATCTAGTAGAGGAATACCTAAGTATAATTTTCCCATTTTTGAAGCTTAAAGACAAAAACTTAACCCTAAACAGTGTTGCTCAGAAAATGTTTAAGTTGCTAATTATAACTATATTTTGTTCATTTAAACCTGGATCTTATCTAAGTAACTGTTTAAGTTAGTCCTAGCTGAGTTTACCAAAATGAAAAATGATATATGTCTGTTCTTATTCTAAAACCTGAGTGAAGCAAAATAGAGAAAAATAATGTCACTATATTACTTTCTTAAAAAGTAAAATTTCACCCCGTGTATACATAAATCAGTATTGAGAAGCACCTTTCTTTTTTCGTCAGAGAACCTCAATCTGTTTAACAGCTATATATTGTACATTTCTGAAATACTGACAGAAAAAACACACTAGAGACTTATGAAACAAGTATTAAATGCAGTGGTATTTTCTTCTTACACTGGTCCCAACTATCAGATTGGTCAATATACACTTCAGCTAACTTCATTTAGAAATGTTAGCACCATTTGACAGGCACGACACTGTTAAGAATTCCCAAATAAACACAGTTAGTAGGCAAATGAGAAAATATTTAGAAAAAAAATCTTTACTTTCTTCAAATAAGCAATTCCAACATATTCATAATCAGATTATTTAAAAGTATTTCCAAGGAAACTTGAGAAACCAACATTTTAAATATATCAGTGAGAGTTTTGAGGTTCAGAGATTATACTGAAAATGTTGGAATAATCTGTACATAATTTGTCAGTTCTGAATCTGGATCTATAGTTTTCTCATCTGTAAAATGAAGTGCTTGGGAAGGAAAAATGATCTATTCCTACAGAGTCTTCCAGTATTGATTCTTGTGACTTAAGTCATATGCTTTTCTTTTATGAATAAAATAAAAACTAAAAGCATTATTATAGTTTTTAAAACTGTTGAGGATCTTGAAGATACTTTACATAAACAAGCCAGCCATTTTACATTGGAATAAAAATTCATTAATAGATTCTGTACAAAACACTGTATAAACAATGAAATCTCTGACTTAAGGGAAATTATTTTCCAACCTTAATTTTGCTAGTTTTATTTCAAATCCAAACTTCTGTTCTCAACTACATGGCCATTTTATCATTTTAATCCTTTTCCTAGTTTATATTTGTATGGCAATTAATCTTGCTTCCCTTCCATATGAAAAAACACACATCTTCTTACCATCATATTTATATAGGTTTCAATAAAAACAAATAAAAAACCTTCTTGAATGGCAAATGTTCAGGGTTGAATTAAGCTAATGATCTTTTTCTGGACATTCTCTACTATTTGAATTATTTCTTTAATTCAGTAACAGCATTGGTAAAGGTAAGAATTAACTGTCAAAATAGCACTAGTCTAATGCTGAGATAAATTCCTTCACTTTGGTAAACATTTCCATTTTATTTTAAGCAGAAAGCTTTATCTGTGTTTAAATTGTGTAAAAAAAAGACATTTCATAAGTCTTTTTCTATTATAGTTTACAAAGACTAGAAATACTTTAAAATGGTAATACTGTTTATTTCTGGGTGGTGGTATTACATACTATTTTATTTTTTACATGTCTCCAAAAGCATTATTATTTGGTAATCAAACATTATTTTTACATTAAATTTTATGTAGCTTATAGTGTGAGACATCAACATAGTTTACTTCTACAGGAGATTTGTTAAATGCTTTTTCCCTATTGATAAGAGGCTGGTTTAACAGGAGAATGATTTGATCACGTGTCTCTAGGTTGGATAAAGACAAAACAGCTTTATTTACCAGGCCCTTCTTTCATTTAGGCTTTTGAGAAAATCCAAGAAGTGAGTTTGAACTTAATTATAGTGAATCATGCAGTAGTAAACTTTTTGGATGGCCAGAGTAACACCTTTCATTACAACTAACAGCTGAATGGTAAAAAGACTGCCAGGTTTACCAATGTTTTCAGAGACTTGTTAGTATTCTCCTCTGTCATTATTTCAGAACAATTCCATTTAAAAAGAAATGCAACTGTAAACCGTTTCTATTTCAGGCCCATAAAAACCAGAACTGGGCTGAAAGGCAAAGCCTTGACCTTTCTATTTTAGACTTGCATCTGTGTAGCTAAGCCATCTGCTTTCTCCCCACCCCATCTACTTAATGGACTGAAAATACTGCACCTAATTGCAATTTTATCGAAACGGCCTGGCTTCCACTTTAACGAATTATGACTCTCTTTCACCTGAAGGCTCGCTTGCACAATTTTGCTTACCCTTCCCTCTCAATTCCTTTCCACCTCTTTTAATTATGAGTTGTCAAATGCCTTTAAGATACTAGGCTCCCGTGTATTAAGTCACCTACAGAGCTCTTCACTTTCAACATTGAGCACCTAACGGAAAATCTACTCCAATATCTCCTACATTTGGATATTATCATTGTTGCAGTTACGCAGGAGGCGCCTCGCAGCTCAGCCCAGAAAGGAGTCGCATCTCTCCGCCACCAAACAACAAGGGACCCCGCCTGGGAAAAGACAGCCTAGGGTGGGAGGAAACCTCCGGGAGGAAGAAGGGAGCTGAGAAGAGGGAGCTCAAGACTAGGAGGAAGGACCTATCAAGGCAAGAAGAGGAGAGGGTGTGTGAAGTGGAGCAAGAAGCGGGCGGCCGAGGTGAAGGGGGATGAAGCGGCCGGGGCCCGGCAGGAGGGCGCGAGGGGCCCGGAGAGCGGCTCCAGGGCCGGGCGGGAGGCGCGGGGGCCGAGGCGGGCGTGGGCAGCTCGCAGCCGACCGCCCGAGTCCGAGCAGGGGGGCGCTTTCAGCGGCGGCAGGCGCGGATGCGGGGGAAAGGAGCAGAAAAGAGAGCAGTTTAAGGGGCCGAGGGAGCCGCGTCCGAGGCCGGCGCGGCGGGGACAGTGGGCCCACCCCCAGCCAAGCCCCGCTACTTAACTATTTGTAGAGCTGCTGCAGGCAAAGGTCCAGGCTCTCGCCCTCCACCTCCTCGCGGATGATGCGCTCCGACAGCGGCCGCGGTAGTGGGGGCAACGGCGGCAGCTGGGGCTGCGGCGGGGGCGGCACGGCCGAGTGCCCCGGGGCTACTGCCGCTGCCGCCTCCTGCTCCTCGCCCTCTACTGCCACCGCTTCCTCTTCTTCCACTGCCTCCTCCTCAGGCTCCGGGTCTTGCTCCCTCTCCTCTGTTGCGGCTACCGTGGCCGCCGCCTCCTCGGGTTCCTCAACTGAAGCCTCGGCCGCCTCAGCTGCTACCAGTTCAGGCTCGGGCTCGGGCTCGGGCTCGGGCTCCGACTCGAGGTCGGGTTCCGGCTCCGGCTCACCGCCGCCGCACGGTCCTCGAAACTCGCCCAGGAATAGCTCCAGGAAGCGCCGGTAAGTTTTCTCCTCAGGGATGCAGCCTGCCATCGCTGCTCATGCCCGGGGGCCGACCAGGAAGGGGGTGGGGTGGAAGCCCAGGAAGGGGAGGGGGCTGCTTTTGAGTCTCGGGCTCCCGCAAGGGCCGTTAACAGCCGCACCGGCACGAGCTATCAGCACTAGGTTGCCTGGAGAGGGCTCCCGCAGGCGTGCGCGCCGCCGAGCGCGGACGTGCGCGGCCCGGGGGCGGAGCGCGCCGTCCCTCTCAGGTCTGGAGGGAAAGTTGGCGGCGGGCGCGCGCGCAGGGTCCAGTGGCGGCCCACCCTCTATCCTTACGAGAGCTCAGCCCACGCTGCCTAGAGACTGTCACCATGGCAACCAGTTCTAATTAAGAATTTCAGAGTCCCTCCCCGTCGAGTCCGTGGAGTCGAAAGGACACTCGACTCGCCCGCTCTCCAACTCTGAATGTCTTTATTGGATGTGGATGAATTCCCTAGCCTCACGCGGTTAAGGTGAACTAAGACATCTACAAGTCTAGCTGTTGGTTCCCACTTGGTTTGCATTTATGTACTTCAGTTTCCTTATCTGTTCCTGCCTTGCCTTGTGATATCTTTTAAAAGATACCACACTCTGAGCACTTTTTTGTTGATAACACCCACTAAATAAAGTTCGGGGAAGGAGGGGGACTCAAGCACCTACCAAGTGATAGGCTCCGTTGCATAGGTTCTCTCACTTGATTCTATGAAGAAAATGATGTTATCTTCATTTCCCAAAAAGAAGAAATTGAAAATTATGATAGTAATTTACTTGCTTCAGGGTCTCAAACTTCTAGTGACAGTGTTGGAATTAGAACCCAGGTCGTTAGTCTCCAAGGCCTTCTAGATCATTTTTCCTTAACTCTTCCCTGTCTCTGAAGATCAACGGTATATAATGCCTTATTTCTGTAGGGCTTTATAGTTTACAAGTTGTTTTCATCCTTTAATCCTTACCACTGCCCCTTGAAGTACAGGACATTATCATTATGATTCCATTTTACAGATGAAGAAACATCCTTAAGACACAGTGACTTTGCTCAAGGTCACACACAACCCAGGTCTTTTCACTGAATTTGCCCACTTCAATGGATTTCACCCATTAGTTTTCCAGGACTCCAAGATTCCCCTATTTATTTTCTGCATAATACATATTATACTTTATTATACAATATATATTTTTTCTACCTTTTGTTTGCTCTTCTTCCCCATTCCCCCCCCCCAAGTCTCTTTTTTTCCTTCTTAGATTGGGACTGAAATAACTTTAAATGATTCTAATTTTCTTACCAATTACACACAAGCCTATTATTTCCAAGCCTTACTGAGGGGAGTGGGAGAGGGATAAGCTGTGTTGTTATACAGCTGTATAGATGATAGCATCATTACTGCATACTGCCATGTCCATGGCAACATATAATTCAGCAAAAACATAGTGATTCTTCCTCTGCTTTGAAAAACATGTTCTCACCAATTATCCACCCCATCCTCTCCATTTATTGTTTCTAGGTTTCAGTTGGATTTAGGGTCTGAAATACCGTTGTTTATAGTCAGTTATTAATGGCAGAAGAGTGAGTCTCCCTGCCAACTGTTTTCATATAATACTGTATTCTAAATCCCTGACCTGATACTGTTATTTTAAGATTAAGTGGGTTGAGCTCACTAATGTACATTATGGAATCATGTAAAATAGTTCCTTTCTCTCCCCTGGCTTGAGATTAAGTAATACATGATGGAAAGTATATAGTGAATAATGCACTTGAGTCCTCTATACCTATTTTTTCTCAAAAATAAATGGAAAGATCCAATAAGTCTGTTTCCAGACATGCTGAATGTATTTATACATGTTTTGTTTAAAACATCACCAGTGTAGAGCAACTTCTCTATGAGATGCCAAGAAAGTCTTTAAACTCCTCATTTGTCTTTGTTTTCAATCCACCTGTTCATTTCCATTTCAGAATGTCTAGAAAAGATTGACAAAACTTTTTAGGCTACAAACCTAAATGTCCACAATTTTACATTCCAACAACTGTTCAAGATCTCAGCTATTTGACATGATAACATTTAGTTCAAGAGTACATAGCTGTCAACTGTAACAATTCATATCAAGTTACTCCTTCCTACTTTGTAATGTAGTTGCCTCCCTCATTTAGATGACATTAATTTATGACTCAACCCACATATCAAAGGGAAGTGATATAAATTGGGGAAACATTACTACTAAGAGTAAAAGAAAAAGCCCACACCTTTATATTACTAAAAATGAGAGGCGTGTTTGCTTATATTAATAAAGATATTCCTTCACAAAGATCAATATGGATCCTATTGCATCTATTTGACAAAGTAGCTTTACCAGAAGGTTGCTGATAACAGTGCTGAGATCTCAGAGCAGCTGTGTAGGAAGATTTTGTGATTGTCAAGAAGTCTTTTTAGTAATTATTCTGCATAGCTTTGCTTTCCTTTTCAGTTTCTCTCCTCTTATACTTCCTTAATCCACTTTCTTACTATTAAAAAATACTAAGCTATTAAAAGCTTAATGTGTATCAAAGGTATTAAAATTTTTGAGATTTTTTTTCTCATAAAAATTGTTCTCCCTCTAACCCTTACCTCTTTGGAAGAAATGCATAATGTCTTTTTATGGACATTAATGGTAATAATATTTATAAGGTTAAAAAGAATTGTTGACCCCTCCCTCCCCTATGTCTCACTTTTTCTTATTTTTCCCCATTTTCCCCTTCCTTAAAAAAAATTGAAAAAAAGAAAAAGAATTGTTGAGTTTGGCAGTTTCTTATATGATCCAGCAATTCCTCTCCCAGATATTTCCTCATGAGAGATATTTACACACACACACACACACACACACACACCCCAAACACACACAAAAAAACCATGTACATAAATGTTCAGAGAATTTGTATTCATAACAGCTCAAACCTGGAAATAACCAAGATGTCCATCAACAGGTAAATGGATAACCAAATTAGTGTATTCATACAATGGAATACTGCTCAGCAATAAAAATAAACTGATAAACACAACAACATGGATTAATCTCAAAAACATGCTGGGCCAGGCACGGTGGTCCATACCTATAATCTTAGCACCTTGGGAGCAAGACACTATCTCAAAAGAAAAAAAAAAGAGAAAATCCAGACACGAAAGAGTACATACTATATGAAATTTATACACACTTCATTGATGTGAAATTCTAAAACAGACAAAATTAACCTATAGTGAGAGAAAGCAGATTCCTGGTTGTTCGGGACTGAGGTGGGGTGGGAGATTCGTGGCAAAGGAGTAAGAGGTAACTTTTTGAAGTCATTAAAATATTCTATATCTTGACTAGGGGTAACCACAAATGGGTGTATTCATTTGTCAAAAATTATTGCCAGGCACAGTGATGAGTGCTTATAGTCCCAGCTACTTGGGAAGCTGAGGCAGGAGGGATGCTTGAGCTCAGGAGTTGAAGGCTGTAATGCATGATGATGGTGCCTGTGAGTAGCCACCGCACTCTAGCCTGGAAAACATAGCAAGATACCATCTCAAGAAAAAAAAAAACAAAAAACCTATCAGAGTGTGCACTTAAAATAAGTACATTGTATGTAAATTATACCTCAATAAAGTTGATTTTTATCCTCAAGTTGGGATAAGCAAAAAATTAATAAAGTTGATTTTTAAAGTTAAAATAATTGATTACTGTGTGTGTCTTTGTCCTTTTTGCTCTCATATCCATTTCGTCTCCTCCTTTGCTCTGCTTTGTATTATAGGAGCGCTGACCCTTCAGGCTATATTTACTAGGCTCCTGTGACAGCTGACTTTCAGCTGGGATTTGCCCAGTAGGAGGCACTAACAAGAAATTGGAAGGTGAGAGAGGAAGGGAGAAGAGCCCTGTCCCCTATCAGTCCTGAGATCTGTTGTATCTCCTTTGTAGCGTTCTTCCTCCTGAATGTGCCCACTGGGATTCCAGTTTTTGCCAGTGACCCCAGGCTTTGAGCTCCAGAAACATCATCTTCCTCCATTTGTCCTTTAACCTATGGATGGTAGCAGCTTCCAGTTTCGTAATCTTTTAGGAATTAGAGAAGGGAATTTTGGCTTTTTAGCTCTTCCATCACTTGTGTAAGCAGTTTCTTCTATATAATTCTCTATTTCCTTAACTAGATCTGATTGGTAAGGTAACAAATAATACCTTAAAGAACTATATTATAAAATGGATTGTATATATAAGAGAGCTACAAATGGATTAAGCCAAAGTTAAAGCAAGTTTAAGCCTCCAAAGGTGCTACTGGAACACTGAGTTTACTTGAAGCAAAGTTAGCAATAAACTATTTCCTACAATTAGAAGAGGCCGGGCACGATGGCTCATGCCTGCAATCCTTGCACTCTGGGAGGCTGAGGCGGGTGGATCGTTTGAGCTCAGAAGTTCAAAACCAGCCTGAGCAAGAGCGAGACCCCGTCTCTACTAAAAAATAGAAAGAAATTAATTGGCCAATTAAAAATATATAGAAAAAAAATTAGCCAGGCATGGTGGCACATGCCTGTAGTCCCAGCTACTTGGGAGGCTGAGGCAGTAGGATTGCTTGAGCCCAGGACTTTGAGGCTGCTGACGCCACGGCACTCACTCTAGGCAACAAAGCAAGACTCTGTCTCAAAAAAATAAAAATTATTCAAGTCAGTAAATACTCGAAGAAAAAAAAATCATCCGTATTAGTTGCCAAAATATTACCGCTATAATAATTTTTTGTTCCTCTTCTATTGTTGGTAAATATGGTCATATTGCAGCAACAGTCCAAAGCTGTCAAAATTAATATTGATGTCAGGTAATAATAGGCCTACATGCACTATATTTCACCAGTTTTAAAAAGCAAAGAAGTCTCCAAAACAGGATCTAACCTTTTTTCTTAATTTTTTTAACCATTAACAATAACAGGCCGGGCGCGGTGGCTCACGCCTGTAATCCTAGCACTCTGAGAGGCCAAGGCAGGAGGATCGTCAAGGTCAGGAATCCTTGAGTTCGAATCCAGCCTGAGCAAGAACGAGACCCCCGTCTCTACTATAAATAGAAAGAAATTAATTGGTCAACTAAAAATATATAGAAAAAAATTAGCCAGGCATGGTGGCGCATGCCTGTAGTCCCAGCTACTCAGGAGGTTGAGGCAGGAGAATTGCCTGAGCCCAGGAGTTTGAGGTTGCTGTGAGCTAGGCTGATGCCACGGCACTCACTCTAGCCTGGGCAACAAAGTGAGACTCTGTCTCAAAACAAACAAACAATAACAATCTTTCTTTTGACCTAGCATGGTTTTTTGAGAAAACAAAATTATTTTTGAGCTTATTATGACAAGTTTACAAAAGAGGAAGAGGGTAGGGGTAAAGGTAATTTGATGATAGCACTATAAATGGCTAATATGTGATATGTTCCATCTATTATGTATACTTCTTTTAAAATGAATTCACTCTATTAAAAAATCCACTTTGACATTTTGCTACTAGTTTTCACTTTACAAAAACCAAAAAAGTGTTTTGTGGTAAGAATTTACCCTTATTATCATCTAATTTTTAATTACTTTTATGTATTTGGTGAGAATAAATACATACAAGAATTATATTGGTCATGTCCCATTCTAGATAGCAGATGCCTATTCCTCACTCTGGAACATTTATCAAAAAAAAAAACAAACAAAAAACCCTGCTTTTTAAAATGAAAATGAAATAGTCAACTAAATATGAAAACTCTTCACAAAGGTGTTTTCTATGCTTACATAGCACTGAATACTTTATTCTTAGTGTAGCTGATGGAATTGAGCCACAGTGACATTTGTGACTAGAAGGGAAGATGGAAATGATTCCATTAACCTAGAGTGCTGTAACATATGGTAATCATAGGTGGTAGAATAGCTGTGTCGGACAAGGGTGGAAGTAAGCCATGTGGCACAGACATTATCAATTACCACACGTGGTAACCATGCTGACACAATGCATCTTTTCCAGAAAGAAAATGATCTGGGCATATGAAGTAGTTTGCTGCCTTATGAAAGAGTGCTCTATAAATGACATATCTGGCACCAATATAGTACATGTGGTTTCCAGTAATTCTGCAAGATCTGAAAATCAAGTTAATGACCTCCATATACCTAAGTAATAGTAAATACCATACAGTTATTTGCACAAAGACAGCAAATCAAAATATGTATGCAAAACAAACCCAGGTCTTTCACACATAAAATTATTAATTTTTAAAATATTCTTTTAAATTGTCACATAAAATTCTGAAATTTTGTAGCTCTGGAAATATATACCAATGATTTCATGACTCTGTAAAGTATAAAGCCTATGGGCAAAAGTTCAAGATTAGATCTAGGCTGTACTGGAAGGTGAAATTGCAATTATTTGTTCCATCTACTGGCAAAAATATTGAATTAGAAAGAAACATGAAGATTGTGTTTTAAGAAAATTTAACATGCAAACATTCCTTCAGATAAGTGCAGTATGGATTGAAGGAGACTGAAGGCTAGAAATAGTTGGGCAATGGGAGATAATGAGAGTACAGAAAAGAATAGTGTCATTGGGAGTGAAGATGAACAGAAAAAGCTACACCACACTGGACAGGAGGATCTGAAATTCTAAGAAGGCACCTAAAGACACAATTTGGGAAAACCTGACAACCCATCCAGAGAGGTTCTCGGGTGGCTGATCCAGTTATCTATTACTGCAAAACAAACTCCCTCAAAACTTAGTGGCCAGAAGAAAAAACATATTTCACAACTCAGTAGGTTGACTGGGTTCAGCTAGGTGGTTCTCACTTGCAGGTCTCAGAAGTTGCTGTCAGATAGCAGTTGGGGATAAAGTATCTGAAGGCTCAATTGGTTAGATGGCCAAGATGACTTATATTATACTTTTTTCATTTATATTGAAAAAATGGTGGAAAATGACTAAATTGTAAATATTTTTCAAGGTATTTGATTGTGTTGCCAAGCTGGCAGTTGATGCTGGCTATTGACTGGGAGCTCACCTAGGGCTGTCAACTGTAATGTCTACACATAACATTTCCAACATGGTGGCCTTACAGTAGTCAGACTTCTTACATGGTGGCTTAGGATTTCAAGAGTGAGTGTTCTATAGAGTAGAAGTAGTGAAAGTGGGGGTAAAAAGTGAGTGTCCTAATAAATAAGACAGAAGGTGCATAGTCTTTTATGACCTAGTCTTATAAGTCAATATTATTACTTCTTTTTTTTTTTTGAGACAGAGTCTCGCTTTGTTGCCCAAGCACCTGCCTCGCCTGCCTCAGCCTCCCAGAGTGCTAGGATTACAGGCGTGAGCCACTGCGCCCGGCCAGTATTACTTCTATGGTGCACTATTGGTCAAAGCAGTAATAGGGCTATTTTAAGTTCAAGAGAAGGGGACATAATACACCTCATTTTCTGATGGAAGGAATGTCAAAGAATTTGTTTTAAACTACCAGAATAGCTGGGCGTGGTAGCTCACGCCTGTAATCCTAGCACTCTGGGAGGCTGAGGCGGGAGGATCACTCAAAATCAGGAGTTCAAAACCAGCCTGAGAAAGAGCGAGAGCCGTCTCTACTAAAACTAGAAAGAAATTAATTAGCCAACTACAAATATATGGGAAAAAAAATTAGCTGGGCATGGTGGCACATGCCTGTAGTCCCAGCTACTTGGGAGGCTGAGGCAGAAGGATTGCTTGAGCCC